AGGATATGTCCCTTGTATACGGCAATAACTACAAAAAAAAAGTAATTAAGTTAGTGGGAAGGATATGAGAGAATAAAAAGAAGAGACAAGTAAGATGAGGGAATGGTAAATCTCTGAAGGGGGTTGAAAAAGTGAACAATGAGTTTAAAAGTGTCTTTGACAAGGCTTCAGATTCGATATTGAGATCATGCTCCTTATAAAGGGGCGTTCATTCTCTTCCTATCATATGTTTATGTGTTGAAATCATCACGAGCCGATAAATAATAAAAAAACTTTCAGCTTTGGAGTGGAGCTGAGCATCTTGATAAATTCCGGCTTCAAGCTTGCTGAGTCATTCTGCACCGTCTTTAGGATAACCCGCTTATGTGCATGGATCTCATTACAGCCTCAGGCACCCGCCAACCCGCATGTTGACACCGCGCCAGCCAATCATAACAATGCGGCGACCAATCTGAGGAGCATCTGAGGAGCTTCTGAGACCGGCCTTCAACGCAGCCTCAGCGCACCTCTTCCCTGCCAGGCGCTGCAACTAGCTGCTACTAGAGCTAACATCAGCCTAGGAAAGCCCCAGTCAAATTTCCAGGCGGATCGTCGACCCTCGCATCTTTCTCCATTCGCATCTTCAACAACCTTCATTCTCATCATCTTTCTTCCACCAAACAAGCTTCACACATTGCATCCTAGCTCGCCGCACACCTCATTCGTCCGCCTTGCGTCGCCATGAGTGATTTCGCTCATTTTGGCGGCGTCTCCGATGAGGAGTACGCCGCGATTCGCAAGCACAATGCTGATGTGGTAAGGATAGCACGCGAGCTTTCGCATTGGCTCTTGGTGTTGCTTGACCATTTACTCACGACTTATTCTAAACAGGAAGCGAACCCGGACAGCTTCGAGCACTGGGAGGCCCTGATCGCCGCTTGCGAAGCACTCGAGGGCGGCATCAACCGCAACTCCAGCCCCGCCGCTCTCGAGACATTCCGAGATGCTTACGACCGCTTCCTTCACAAGTTCCCACTTCTCTTCGGGTACTGGTCGAAGTATGCAGAGTTCGAGTTTAGCATCGCTGGACCCGAGTCTGCCGAGATGGTGAGAACGAATGCTTTCGACCGAACGCCGTCGAGAAAATGGGCTCATGCGCGTACACATTCTAGGTTTACGAACGAGGCGTGGCCAGCGTCTCGAACTCGGTCGATCTCTGGCTTGCGTACTGTAACTTCAAGACCGAAACGACCCACGACCCTCAACTGGTCAGAGAGTAAGTTGTATCTGCTGGCGCTGGTGACCTTTCCCATTTCCTATGTTATCCCTATTTCCTATGCCATCGAACCGGTTACCTTCGCGCGAGTCCCAGCCAGAGATACCTTCCTATCACCCCTCCCTTCCAGACCCCCCCTCCCCCGATCCTGTGTCGTCTGACTTTGTTCAGATAACTGTGCTTGCTCATTTCCAGCTTCCCGTCGCGTGTCGATCGTCCCCTCCCAGCTCGGATCCGTCTTGTCGAGTTGCTCTGTTGTCATCTGTCCCTCTGTACTGCTGCTCTACCCCTCCCCACCCTCAATGTCCCTTATCACGTCCGAATATCACCGCTGACTTGTCAGACTATTTGAGCGAGGCGCCAACGCTGTTGGACTTGACTTCATGGCCCATATCTTCTGGGACAGATACATCGACTATGAAGGCCTCCAAGAAGCACATGACCGAATCTTTGCCCTTCATGCCCGTGTGGTTCGAATTCCCTTGCATCAATATGCTCGATACTATGAGCGATTTCGCGCTTTGGCTATTGAGCGGCCTCTAACAGAGCTTGCGTCTGCAGACATCATCTCTAGATTCCGATCCGAAGTTGAGAGTGAATACAATGCGCGTGGCATTGGCGAGCAAGCCGGGGACGCCATGGAACGTGAGATCCGCACCAAGGTTGACGCAATGTTCTACGAGATCTTTGCCACTACTCAAGGGGAAGTGACCAAGAGATGGACGTACGAATCAGAGATCAAGCGTCCATACTTCCACGTCACAGAACTTGACCAGCAGCAACTCAGCAACTGGCAAAAGTATCTGGACTTTGAGGAACAGGAGGGTGATTTCGCTCGAATCACCACCTTGTACGAGCGGTGCTTGACTACATGCGCCCTTTACGAAGAATTTTGGCTTCGCTATGCCCGATGGATGTCTGCCCAAGATGAGAAGGAAGAAGATGTCCGCAACATCTACAGACGAGCATGCACCGTTTTTGTTCCAGTCAGCCGGCCCGGAATCCGCCTCCAGTGGGCTTACTTTGAGGAGGCTTTCGACCGCGTTGACGTCGCTCTTGCTATCCACGAGGCCCTCTTGGACAAGATCCCAGACTGCATTGAGGTGATTACATCCTGGGCAAACGTTGCTCGTCGCCAGTACGGCTTGGAGGCGGCGGTTCAAGTGTACAGGGATCAGATTGATACACCAACAGTTGACCTCTACACCAAAGCTGCCCTGGTAGCTGAATGGGCTTACATGGTTTGGAAGACAAACCGCTCCGCTGATGAAGCGCGGGCAGTCTTCTTGAAGAATGCACAGTGGTATGCTGATAGCCGTATCTTCTGGGATCGGTGGTTTCAGTTCGAGTTGGAGCAACCAGGAGATGGAGACCAGGAGGAGCGTGTGGCCCACGTGTTTGAAGACCTCCGCAATAAGAGTCGTCTGCCAACTTCCCTGAAGCTCGAGTACACGAAGCTATACCTGGAATTTCTCGTTCAACGCGGTAGTAAGGACGCGATGATGACCTACCTCCAGGTCGACCGTGAGATGTTCGGGTAAGCTCTTTCCAGTCCTACTTACCATTGTATTGTGTTGACCTAACTGATAACCATCGCAGGCCAACTTCTGTCTCGTATGCCTCGAGATCCGGTACCAATGCTAAGGAGAACGGTGCCAGCCGAGGCGAGCTAGATGAGTTGTCGACACGCAAGGCAACTGCCAAGTCTTTTGCCTTCTATGAGCTTTACGAAGAGCCTTCTTCGGATGCACAGATCCCAACAGATTTCAACTGAGGAAGTGCTTTCCAGGATTTCGATGGATATGGAGTCAGTATTTAGGCGTTTCGTTTCTTGTATGAAAACCAAGGGATAGCTTCCTCAACAGACAGGAAGTGGGTGGCTATATTTGTTTTCAAGAAGGCATTCATGGACTTTTTCGTTTGCTCAAATCTTTCCTTGCTATTACGACATGTCACTCGGAGGACATTTTGATAGTCTTGATAGTCGCTCATGGCCCAGTGAGCCAAGTGCCTCATCTAATTAAGCAATACAATCAATAGGCACAACCAAATCAACGGGGTACATGTGCTAACTTGTACCACCACTAGCTTCCGTGACCGATGAGTAGTTGCATTGATTTGTCAGGATGGGGAGCAGGCATGGACCCTTTGCCGGCGAAGGTTTCCCGAACGACTCTGCGGATGAGCGCGGTTGTGGGTGCCATGGATGACTCGCAGGGAACAATTCCAAATTCCAAGACAGGGTCCGTGCCGGCTGATGACAAATCGTGCCAGGCCACGAACAAGCATGAGTGACACTGAGGTGCCATTTTACATCGTTAACCGGTAACCGAATTCCCTCCTAGTGATCGACGAGACAGGATTATTCATTCGTGGAGAGAATGCCAGGGTTTTTCATAATATGCAATTCCAAATATTTCAAGAAGTTAGCGGATGCCAAGTGCTCCTCGGCCTTGACTACGGTCGATTACGAGTCATCCCTCCCATCTGAGGGCCGAGTCATCGCCGGAACTACAAAGACGGTTCGGTGGTGTTCGGCAACAGGACACCCTCTTCTCGAGCAAACTTTAGGCAGCTCCCGGCTTGGTCGTGCCACCCATGTGTCTGTTCCTGGCCGATCCGTAGGCGCTGTAACACACACACACGGAACAAGTAGAATAGCTAATGCTCTGTTAGCGCCGTAGCCATCTCACACGTGAATTCCCTTTCCGAAGTGCGGGTCTTCTCTCTGCCTTTCTCTCCCACTTGTGGCCCTGTACCCCATTTCCACAGTGGTCTGCCTCTCAACACAGGACCGAAAGTGGCGGGGCAACAGCAAGCGGTGCGGAGAGGAATTCATGAGAGGTTAGTCGAGGGTACTCGGGCTGGCAGCACCCTGGACCCTGCCCCAAGAGCACTAATGGCTGCGGGCGCAGATTGTGCTAAACTGCTTGGGGCCAAACTACGTCGTACCTCCACTAGCGTCGAGGCTCTGCCCCGCTGCCTTAAGCTGGGGCAGCTCTGGCCAGCCAATGAGGCAATTCCAATTTCAACACCCTGCCCCATCACTGCTTTCACGGGCCTCAGACGAGGTACCTCAAGCCCGCTGGCTGCCGAGAAACGTGCTGTCTGACCCGCGGGATGTGTTTCTGTTTTCTATGCCCTTCTGCCCAGCTTTCTCTGTTCTGCTGTTCTTGTTCTTGATCTTCTCTACAACTTACGCTCTCTCCAGACTCCGGATTTTGCCCAGCACAAACCCGACATTTGCACATAGTAAGTCCTCCCCAGCTCGATGCTTGATGTCTCGTATCTCGATTGCTATGAATTGGCTGCATTGGCACATGCTCAGAGGTATATGGGTGTACTGTATACATGTAATTTAGCATATGCCATTCAATCTCTCCCCGTTGGCTACCACAGATAGCTTCAACTCTAATCCTCCATCTTGGCTTTTCACCAATTGTTCCCTCTGCTGACCACAATATCCAATCAGATGGCTTCTGCTGCTCGTACCTTCGCACGCACAGCTACCCGTGCTGCCACGAGGAACACCTTTGCTGTTGCTCCTCGTCAGGCCTTCCGCCAGCACGGCCGCCGCTACTACTCCTCCGAACCCGCCAAGCAGTCCTCCTCCTCCTCCCTGCTGCTCGCCCTCGCCGCAGCCGCAGCCGGTGGTGCGGGATACTGGTACTACACCGCCAGCGGAGCTCCCTCTGCCGCCTCGGCAAAGATTGTGAACCCCACCAAGGATGACTACCAGAAGGTCTACAACGAGATCGCCAGCCGCCTCGAGGAGAAGGACGACTACGACGATGGCAGCTTCGGCCCTGTCCTCCTCCGTCTGGCCTGGCACGCCAGCGGTACCTTTGACAAGGCGACCGGTACTGGTGGGAGCAACGGCGCCACTATGCGCTTCGCTCCCGAGTCTGAGCACGGCGCCAATGCTGGTCTTATCGCCGCTCGTGACTTCCTCGAGCCTGTGAAGGGTATGTATTTGACTTCCTTATCTCCTTAATGACCAATTGATCTCCCGAGAGAGTCGGTTGAAAGAGGCTGGTTATTTCTGAAGCAGTCTGAGCTAACGACTACTTTCTTACAGCCAAGTTCCCATGGATCACTTACTCTGATCTCTGGATCCTCGGCGGTGTCGCCGCCATCCAGGAGATGCAGGGCCCCATCATCCCCTACCGCCCTGGCCGCTCCGACCGTGACGTCGCCGCCTGCACCCCCGACGGTCGTCTCCCCGACGCCACTCAGGGCTCCGACCACCTCCGCAACATCTTCAACCGCATGGGCTTCAACGACCAGGAGATCGTCGCCCTCTCCGGCGCCCACGCCCTCGGCCGCTGCCACCGCGACCGCTCCGGCTTCGACGGCCCCTGGACCTTCTCCCCCACCGTCCTGACCAACGACTTCTACCGCCTCCTGGTTGAGGAGAAGTGGCAGTGGAAGAAGTGGGAAGGCCCCAAGCAGTACGAGGACGTGGCCACCAAGACCCTGATGATGCTCCCCACCGACATGACCCTCGTCACCGACAAGAAGTTCAGGCCCTTCACCGAGAAGTACGCCAAGGACAACGACGCCTTCTTCGCCGACTTCTCTGCCGTCGTTCTCAAGCTCTTTGAGCTCGGTGTCCCCTTCGCCTCGGGCTCTGAGAACCAGCGATGGACCCTGAAGCCCACCTGGGATGAGTCTAAATAGATAATGCTCTTATTTCTTTTCCTTATCATAAAGTCACAATGGACAATGAGACTGAGTATGGGCTGAAGAAGGAGATCTAGACTGGGTTTTTCTTTTACGTTTTTAGCGAGTGTTTTCTATGGCCTGTTAGTTCGCAGATCAACGCCCAGAGTTGGGTTAGCTGCGAGTTCCCTCTATTCGTCGCACCATATTACATGGTAATGTGACAGTGGGAGCAATGGGAAAGCAATATGTCCTTTGGTTTATAGAGACCTTAGACCATCTTAGAATACAAATGTACAATCGGGATAGAATTTGTCACGCGATTCGTCTGGTGATTATTGGTGCAGTGTCGTCTTGGGTTGGTTGTACGCTTCGAGACACACACTAGAATGACGCAATTATCGGCTATATGAGGCACTACGTCAGCTCGGATCCGGGCTCTTCTATCTCATTACGCCAGAGAGCCTGTTAACATTGATGGGTGGAATAGGCATAAGATAAGAGATCTTTCGGCCTCGAGTCTCCGACTCTTGCCCAGCGAGTTTTCGGTTTCTTATTAATCACCTAAGCTTTATAATCGTTGCTGGAGGTTAAGGCGCTGCGGTAGGGCGCGAGCGATTCTTATCGGGATTTGGTCTCCGTGGAGGATTGACGTTTCCCCGCCTATTGATCAGGGTCCATCCCCACATTCTCAAGCGCAATCGGAGGCTATTGAGAGATCTTGGAGACCATACTCCGTGATTCCGTATCTTGTCTGCGCTCTGCTTATCAATCCTCAGTCGATTTTGGTCTACTCCGCAATTGTAATCGACTATCAACTAGGAGAGGCATTTGGGGGTTGGCTGGCCTTGAGGGCTTCCTGCTGGACCCGAGGTAGAAAGGGGTTAAAGGGCGACTTGTTGTCTATTCTATATAAACTATCCCCCCACCTCGTGTACGGGATTTTGTCAGTTTGTGCTCAATCACGCAACTGGTTTCTCTCTCTTTTCGTGCTACATATAGAGTTGATTTCTGCACCTCTAGACCTTGTTGTTCCCATCTGTTGTTAGACATTGTCAGTTGTCAGCTTCACGTATAAGAGCTCGCGACTCCAGCGCCTCTTTTCGTTAACCTAGAGACAGAGTCAAAACTCTGGAAGGAAACTTACCAGCGCGGGTTAATTATTCACAATGGGAGCCTCATCAGACCTGAGCAACCCCGGCGCGGAGGGCGTCCCCTTCTTCACGCCCGCCCAGAACCCGCCCGCCGGCACGGCCCTGGACGCATCCACGGCGCCGACGCTGTTCAGGCCGCTCACGATCCGCGGCGTGACGCTGCAGAACCGCTTCGTCGTGTCCCCCATGTGCACCTACAGCGCGCGGGACGGGCACGCCACCGACTTCCACCTCGTCCACCTGGGCCAGTTCGCCCTCTCGGGGGCCGCGCTGACCATCGTCGAGGCCACGGCCGTCGAGGCGCGCGGGCGCATCTCCCCCAACTGCCTGGGGCTCTGGCAGGACTCACAGGTGGCGCCGCTGAGGCGCATCGTCGACTTTGTGCACAGCCAGGGCGGGAAGGCGGGCATCCAGCTCGCGCACGCGGGGCGGAAAGCTAGTACCCTCGCCAGGTGGGTGATTGAGTCGACGGGGGAGAATTTGGCGCAGGAGGCTGTGGGCGGGTGGCCTGACGATGTGGTGGCGCCGAGCGCGATCCCCTTTGCTGGGGACTATGCGACGCCGAAGGCGCTGACGCTGGAGGATATCAAGAAGTTGGTTCAGGGGTTCGCTGATGCGGCGAGGAGGGCTGTAGAGGCTGGGTTTGATGTTATCGAGATCCATGGCGCGCATGGGTATCTGATTACGCAGTTCCTTTCCAGCCTCACAAACGTAAGTTTTTTTTTTATGGATTTGTTACCTCTATCCTTCTTTCCCGCAGAAACGCTTACGAATGAGAAACAGAAACGTACGGATGACTACGGCGGTAGCTTTGAGAACCGGACCCGGTTCCTCAGGGAGGTCGTCGCGGCCGTGCGTGCCGTCATCCCCGAGTCCACGCCCCTCTGGCTCCGCATCTCGGCGACGGAGTGGATGGAGTACGCCGACAAGGAGTCCTGGAACATCGACGACAGCATCCGCCTGGCCAAGATCCTCCCCGGGCTGGCCATCGACGTCCTGGACGTCAGCAGCGGCGGCAACAGCAACGACCAGAAGATCAAGGTCCACACGCACTACCAGAGCGACCTCGCGGGCCAGATCCGGGAGGCGGTGCGGGCGGAGGGGCTGGATCTCACGATCGCGGCGGTCGGTCAGGTGCGGGAGGCCGATGTGGCTCGCGAGATTGTGCAACAGAAGGGGGATGGTAAGGTCGGTGTCGAGCTGGAGAATGGGCAGGTCACCCGGGCGGACCTCGTGCTTGTGGCCAGGCAGTTCCTCAGAGACCCTCAGTTTGTGCTGAGGGTGGCTGAGGACTTGAACGTCAAGGTTAAGGGTCCCAATCAGTACCACAGGGCGGCTGGCAAGCCCAGGCCAAGGACGAAGATCTAGTCTAGAGATGGTTGAGTTAGAGTTTTATTCTTGTTTTGAAGCGGAGATAGATACTAGAATATCATACAAATAAACACTAAATGTTTCCTCACAGCTGTTTGGGTTTGCCCAGAATTTTTCTTTTCTCAACTCTTCCTATGTAGCATGAGTAGTTCAAAAGTCAAAACACGAGCATCAAACTTACTGGTTGGTTTGATCTGGTCACGCGGGTGGCAGCATACTAGAGGGCGGTCCGTATTATATATACCAGCTTAGGCTTACCTACAACAAACGCCAAACCCCCCCTCAAATGAGATGACTCTCGATATTGCATCTCAAATTTGGCAAAAATTCTAGGCCGCACTACAAGTAAGCGACATATATCTCCAACAAAATAACAATGGAGGACGGTCAATCTCACACGGAAAACAACCGCATCACACTGAGAGTGGGGGAACGGCTGTTTCATACGACCAAGGGAACTCTTACAGGCGAAAGTGGCTATTTTGAGGCTCGGCTCACTCGCTGGAACGACGCAGACGCTGACGGGAGCTACTTCATTGACAGTGATCCAACCTTGTTCGAGGTGATTCTTCGATATCTTCGAACCGGTACACCACCGCTGTTCTTTAACTCGGATACGCAGACGTACGACCTCGCAAAGTACGCTGCTCTGTTATCCGAAGCACGGTACTTTCAGATCCCTTCGTTGGTGGCTTGGATCGTGGAAAAGAAATTCCTCCAGGTTATCCAAGTTGACACCAACATTCAAGTTTTCAAGGAACAACCAGGCATAGACCTCTTGGCCAGTAGCTCTACAACAACCAGCAAGGTGGAATATTTCCCAACCACCGGGATTGAGGGGCGGTTTGTGTGCCCACTCAAGTCAGTTGCTGGGGGACACCATTGTAGTCCTATCTGTTGGGACCGTTGCAAGGAACTAGGAGGATCTCCTGTTACTTATGAGGATAGGCCATATTTCATAGTTCTTGCCATTTCACGGACAGTTGCGTTCAACCCTGATAAGCTTGAATACTGTGGGTAGTTCAGAGCAAGCGCTGGTGATGGGGGTGGGTACATTGAGCAGCCGGGATATTAAGAAGCAAGCATTGACACAGAAAGGGAAAATGATCATGAATAAGTGTCCACAAGGCTAAGATACCACATAACACCTAACCGTTAGCATTGTGTTCTACCTTAGTAACAAGATCACCTGTATAGTCCACATGTGGGCCACGTACTCATTACCGTGATTACTGTGTATGAAAACACTTAATTGAAAATTTGCATATCAAAGGCTACGCGAGTGGTTACTGAGACCTGGCCCAGTTCTTAGTTTCACCATGGAAAGGAATGCTCTTCCAATACTAGCGTTTTCAACTCCATACGTGTTAAGAATCCCCCATGGTGTTGATGGAGGTTCATGCAGGGGTCGCTACCTACCGCATTGGGGTGCATTGACCCATAGTAGTAAGTTACTGGCTACGGACATTTGTAGAAAGTATCATTGAGGAGCGCGGGGCCGTCAACTGGTGGATGGAAGGCTGGGGATCTGGACGTGTGAAAGAGAACAGATCTCTGCAACATGCCCAAGGTGTTTCAGCCAACGGGCGGGTGAGGGACTAAGACGATTGGTGGGTTGACTCAGGGAGACGCAGGGAGATGGATTGATGCGTATCGGACCCTCGAGAGCGTCTCAATTGGGAGACGGAGAGGCGAAGGATCCTGATGGACATGGGTGGAAGGATGCAGGGTGACTTCCTGCTACATTCATCTCATTGGCAAAGGACAACTACACAGGACCAATCCGGCAATACGGGCCAGCCAAGCCAGCCGGATGGTCTGAGTGGTATCTCAGGCCATGCACTGGAAGATATTCGTTCACCATATGACCACACCACCGTTGCCTTGGAGAGATTTGATATGCAACACGTTGCCCCGGGCCGTTCACAGTGTTTTAGAGCTTCCGAGGGCGACGCTAGGGAAGCACACCTATTGGGCGTGCGTGCCAGGGCAGGTCATGTCTGCCATACTGTGCATGTGCCAAGCTGATACCATACCGCCCCTCCATGGACGAGAATGTGGCAGACCGAGAGGCTAGTTCAGCATGGATGCCATTAATAAGTCGAGCGTGAATCGCAGACCGGAAGAGACGGTGAACACAGTGAGCAGGAAGCACGCAGATCCAGCGGCGAATTTTAAGGATAGGCGTTTAGCATACGCCATGCCGCGCCTACGCAACTGCTAGCTCGCAGAGTCCCACGCCCTGACAGCGACAAGGCTCAGAAATAGAACAATGCGCCATGGATTCAACAGCGGAGGATCCCACTATTGGCGCTGCCCGTTGGCCGTGTTTAGGTGGTAACGAGGCTAAATGGCTAAGGTACGACGCACCGCCTGGAAAAGCTCCCTGGCCCAGTGGCCCCTCCAGCCCCTCTCTCCCTGGCGGGTCTCTGGGCCCTGGCCAACGGCCGCAAAGGGACACTTGTTCTCTTCAGCCGCCCCCCCACACGCAGCCTGGGAGTTCCCCACTGTGGGCACCTGCACTTGCCGGCTGCGGGTGCCCTGCTTACTGAGCTACAGTGCTATTATGTGCTGCTGGAGTTGTTGCCAGCTTACACCAACGGCCAAGTGGTAAAGGTGGCTACATTACAAAACCGCCCTCGACCCAGCCGAAATCTGTTCCTGAACCTTCTCTTCCCATTCAACCCGACTCCTTCTCTGTCCTTGCTTGTCTCCCGCGCTAGCTTCGGGTTTTTGTCAATCATCGTTCTTGAAGAAGCTACAGCATACCCACCATGCAGCAGAAGCGTCTCGCCGCCGGCCTCGTTGCCGCCTTCGCCGCCTACGTCCAGGCCGACTCCGACGTCGCCCAGTTGACCAAGGACACCTTCGCCGACTTCGTCAAGGCCAACGACCTGGTCCTTGCTGAGTGTAAGTGTCTTTTTCCTGAGGAACCTGCCGTGTTGGGTTCAATTGCTGATTTGGTGTTACCCTGCAGTCTTCGCTCCCTGGTGCGGCCACTGCAAGGCCCTTGCCCCCGAGTACGAGGAGGCTGCTACCTCGCTCAAGGAGAAGGACATCAAGCTCGCCAAGGTCGACTGCACTGAGGAGGCCGACCTGTGCAAGGAGTATGGTGTTGAGGGTTACCCTACCCTCAAGGTCTTCCGTGGCCTTGAGAACATCAGCCCCTACGGTGGTCAGCGCAAGGCTGCTGCGTAAGAACTCCCCACCTCCCCGAGTCGCGTGCTCTGAGAATGCGAGCGGCTCCTGCGTTTGGGTTCAAAAAAGCTAATTTTCCGTCTCTATTATAGTATCACCTCCTACATGGTGAAGCAGTCCCTGCCCGCCGTCTCCATCCTGAACAAGGACACCCTCGAGGACTTCAAGACCGCCGACAAGGTCGTTCTTGTTGCCTACATCGCTGCTGACGACAAGGCCAGCAACGAGACTTTCGGCAAGGTCGCTGAGACTCTCCGTGATACCTACCTCTTCGGTGGCGTCAACGACGCTGCCGTCGCTGAGGCTGAGGGCGTCAAGGCCCCTGCCATCGTCCTCTACAAGTCTTTCGACGAGGGCAAGAACACCTTCACCGAGAAGTTCGATGTGAAGGCCATCACAGACTTCGCCCAGACCGCCGCCACACCCCTCATTGGTGAGGTCGGTCCTGAGACCTACTCCGGCTACATGTCCGCCGGTATCCCTCTCGCCTACATCTTCGCTGAGACCGAGGAGGAGCGCGCATCTCTCGGCAAGGACCTTCGCCCTATCGCTGAGAAGTTCAAGGGCAAGATCAACTTCGCCACCATTGACGCCAAGGCTTTCGGTGCTCACGCCGGTAACCTCAACCTCAAGACCGACAAGTTCCCCTCTTTCGCTATCCAGGACGTTTCCAAGAACCAGAAGTACCCCTTCGACCAGGAGGCTGAGATCACCCACGACTCCATCGCCAAGTTCGTTGAGGAGTTCTCCACTGGCAAGATCGAGCCCAGCATCAAGTCTGAGCCCATCCCCGAGACCCAGGAGGGTCCCGTCACAGTCGTTGTTGCCAAGTCCTACAACGATATCGTCCTTGACGACACCAAGGATGTCCTGATTGAGTTCTACGCCCCCTGGTGCGGTCACTGCAAGGCTCTCGCTCCCAAGTACGAGGAGCTTGGTGCCCTCTACGCCAAGAGCGAGTTCAAGGACAAGGTTGTCATCGCCAAGGTCGATGCTACCCTGAACGACGTTCCCGATGAGATCCAGGGCTTCCCCACCATCAAGCTCTACCCCGCCGGTGGCAAGGACGCCCCCGTCACCTACCAGGGTGCTCGCACCGTTGAGGACTTCATTGAGTTCATCAAGGAGAACGGCAAGCACAAGGCCGTCGTCAGCGTTGCCCAGGAGGAGGAGACCTCCACCTCCGAGTCTACTGCCTCCGCCACCGACAAGGCTGAGGAGACCAAGAAGGCTGAGGAGACTAAGCACGATGAGCTGTAAATTGGAACAAACTGTATTAGTGACAATGCGATATTGATGAGCTTTAACGGGCGCCGGTTTTATGAACGGAATCGAGAAGTTTGGTATCTTCGGTAGATTCTTTGCGGTTTATGGAATTTCTTAAAACGTTTCTTTTTTTTTTTTGATACTTGAATTCCCACCTTGGCGATTGCTACTATTGACCACCTCAAGTACTTGTATCTCGTGTGATTTTTTTTGATTGATGACAACATGTTGATTTACAAGACGCATGATGAAGATGTACATGAACATGATGCTCTGAATTGAATCCCCTCTTCGTATCCATCGACTGTTTTACAGAGAAATGCTATGAATGAAAAGTTGGACATTCCAAAACCGGGCTTGGTGCGCCCCTTGCTACATCCTTTCGAGGGTTTTGTTCTTCCTTGCAGTTTTGGTATCTTAGTTCTTCTTCTCCTGTACCCTTTGCTCGAGGTTCTGGACGTAGCTGGTGAGACGGGTGACGGATGCTTGGAGGGTCTGTTTCCGAATGTTACGTTAGTGGTAGGTTTCTAGGAGGGGGGTTGTGGCGTGTTCCTGAGCACTTCGGAGCGTAGCATGGCCGTATGAACGGCGCGCATTCGGTCCAGCTTGGAAAACCCAGCGCAGCTCCGGCCCCGGAGCTCAAGGAAATCGGTTGATAGATGGGGCTCGCACGTACGTAGATGTCCTCGGTCAGCAGGTCGTTTGCGGTCTTGTACTCGCCGATGAGGTAGGTGTAGACGGCGCTGCCGGTCAGGGCGGTGCCGAGGAGGAAGCCGAAGAGTCTGTTGGGGCCCTTTGTCAGTCCACAGAAACGGTTCCGGCGTGCAATTAGATTTGTAAAAGAAGGCTCGGGGGAGGTTCCTCACCCTGAGCGGAAAGCTCCGTAGGGCTTCTTGGCTGGGAGAGGTGCGGCGTCGGCCATGCGGCGTGACGAGGTGTGGAAAGTGCGCGCGGCGAGGCGAGCGCCCGGCAGGAATGATCTCGTGGCGCCCAGCATGGTTGTGAGGGTTTCTGGTTCGACTGTCGCGAAAGGATGGGAGGACCGTTCGTTGGTGTTGAGGTCGTGCTTCGAGGTCGAGGGCGAGGCGATGAGCTGTCGATCGAGGAATGCGAGCGAATCTGGAGTCGTCGTCGTCGTCGGGATGCTCTGGAGCAATGGGAACCTGGTTGTGTGGGCTCTCTCGGAATATCTGGGAACAAATCAGGACCTGTGATTGGTCGAATTGACCGAATTTGGGGAAAGCTCTGTTGGCTGTTGGAGTAGGTAAGCTCGGGTAGTTTTTCCGGCACTCTCAATCACTGGCGAACCTTTGGACGTCATCAATTGACCGCGCTTACCACATTTTCTTATAATCTTAGTTCTTTTTTTAATTCGAGGTGGTAGAGGAGAGGGACCGAGCCAACATGAACAATTTTGGGGTCTTCGAGATCGCGAGCGCCAAGAAGACGTCTGCACCAGGATGGGCCTACGTCCCTGACACGAGCGTGCAGTCCTCATCCCTCCAACCCGCGAATCGCAAACGTGCTCGGAATGCGCCTGGACTTAGTATTGGGGACTTGACAGCGCGTCGAGAAGTGAAGATCAGAAAGGAGGTGGAGGCATTGGGCCACGATTGGGGCAAGGACAACACGATACCGGTCCCCGTGCGACCTGGAAGCAGAGGTGCGTGTCTACGATCTATTCATGTCCCCTACGCCGAGCTGCTATGCTAACAGGTGGACGATAGCCCAGGGGAAAAGCACGGCGAATGTACGCAAGATATTACAGTCACAGAAGACGTTCGCGAACCACCTAGATGATTTCCTAGCGCTACAGCAGTCAGAAGCAGGCGGCGGGCCCGCGGCGGCTGGGGCCAACAGCAAACGGCCAGCTACGAACGCGAATGCCGGCAAGGGCCAGAATACCGGCAATGACGAAGACTCACACATGCTAGACGTGGATGACTCAAGTCGCCTACCTCCCATCTTGGAGCCGTTCCACGGACTAGAGGCCTCTGGCGACAACGATGCACCGGCCGCGCCGCTCCCTGGTGACGACGACCCCCTCCTCATATCAAGGGTACCGGAACCTCCATCCGATGCGGAGCTCCGACAGTTGCTGGACCATCCGCCGCTCATGTACTTGGAAGCTAGAGGCACGTACGACGCGGATGGGCAGCCTGCGAAGCGAGTGTTTTGTGAGATCTGCGGGTACTGGGGGAGAGTGAGGTGCATGAAGTGCGGGACGAGAGTTTGTGCACTGGACTGTCTGGAGACGCATCGTGAGGAATGTGTTACAAGATACGGGCTGTGAAGAATGGCGGTATCGGACGACATGCTTGGGAAATGGCGTTGGTTGGTGTCAGTTAATAGCGGTGATAGATACCCTGGTTTGATTTTATTGGGCAGTTTACTTTGTGGCATTGAGCTGGCGTCTGGCTTGGGAAAATAGGGGGTTTCAGAGACGAATGACTCTTTTGTTCTCTGAATGGGGTGAGGCAGCGAAGACGTGAGTAATTACCATGTGTTTCATTTCTCAGCACGTAGCATCAGCGCACGGAACCGTACGAGCGACACTGAAGCGATATTATGGGCACGGAGTCGGAGCTGTGGTGTGAGTCAGTCAACAGCGCAGTCAGTGGAAGCAGCCCCCCCACCTTCGCTTTTTATGCCCCTCCAGCCCCGCCATCGTTCTACGGCGGATAAGGATTTTGATTCCACGTTTGACCTGACCCCGTCACATCATTGTGCAAACAGCAGACACAATGGCATCTGAGCAAGTCGAGCCCCCAAAGCCTGCCGAGGGCGCCCCCGCCCAGGAGCTGCCTTCGCGCCCAGCCAAGCAGCCCAAGGAGAAGCCCGCCAAGGGCAACAAGAAGGCCGGTCTTGAGGTTCGCATCTCCCCCCGCCGTTGAAATCGACAGATTGGGCTGCTTCCGAACACGACACCAGACAGTGCCATGACCTTTTCGTCCCCATGTGCGCCAATTGACTGACTTGTTCCGCCTCCTTTTAGCTGCCTGAACTACCTGAATACATCCAGCACCGACTCGACCTCTTTGACAAGATCAAGGCCAAGTACGATGCCGAAATTGCTGGTGCGTCACACTTCATGGGGACGGCGAGTTGTGGCAGTTGAGAGAAAAACAATGTCAGTCTGAAGACTAACAGAAGGGTAGCCAAACCGCGTGACGAGATCACCATCCAGCTTCCCAACGGAAAGGAGGAGAAGGGTGTAGCTTGGGAGACCACCCCCGCGTCGATTGCCAAGGGCATCTCGAAGTCGCTGCTTGAGCGCACAGTCATCTCCCAAGTCGACGGAGAGCTCTGGGACCTCACTCGACCCCTTGAGAAGAGCTGCAAGCTCGAGCTCATCGACTTTGAGAATATCGAGGGCAAGAAGGTTTTCTGGCACTCTTCGGCACACATCCTGGGCGAAGCCTGCGAGAGACGATTCGGCTGCTACCTCTGCAATGGTCCCCCTACTGAGGATCCCCCCGGTTTCTACTACGACATGGCCAACATGGAGGGGTAGGTGTTTTGCTTGGAAAGTTGTCCCTGGTATAAATGGGTACTAACGCTCTTTGCAGCAAGGTCGTTGCCGAAGAGGATAAGAAGGCGCTGGAGAACATTTCAAGCTCCATCATCAAGGAGAAGCAGCCATTTGAGCGTCTCGAGATGACCAAGGAAGAGCTTGTTGAGATGTTCAAGTACAGCAAATACAAGCTTCACTTCATCAACCAGCGCGTTCCCGACGGAACCAAGAGTACAGTATATCGATGCGGACCTCTGATCGATCTCTGCCGTGGTCCCCACGTCCCTCACACCGGAAACATCAAGGCATTCTCCGTTCTCAAGGTAAGAGAAGATTTCCTCTGATGAGAGAAGTATGTCAACTCACATGTCTTGAAGAACTCTGCTGCATACTGGCTTGGAAACAGCCAGAACGAGTCTGTGCAGCGAATTTCCGGCATTTCATTCCCCGACAAGAAGGCCCTGGAAGAGTACAAGACCTTCCTCGCCGAGGCTGCTAAGCGAAACCACCGCAAGATCGGCCAGGACCAGAAGCTCTTCTTTTTCGACGAGGTGTCTCCTGGCTCTGCCTTCTGGCTTCCCCACGGAACCCGCATCTACAGCTCTCTCATGACTTTGATGCAAGAGCAGTACCGCCTGCGAGGGTTCCAGGAGGTCATGTCTCCCAATATGTACAAGTCTGACCTGTGGAAGACCTCTGGACACTGGGGCCACTACGCCGAGAACATGTTCACTTTCGATGTCGAGAAGGAGAAGTTCGGCCTGAAGCCCATGAACTGCCCCGGGCACTGCAAGATCTTTGCCCACTCAGACATTACCTACAAGGACCTCCCCTGGAGGATGGCAGACTTCGGTGTCCTTCACCGTAATGAATTCTCCGGTGCCTTGTCTGGACTTACTCGAGTTCGGAGATTCCAGCAGGATGATGCTCACATCTTCTGTACCGTAGAGCAGGTAAGCGAGACAGGACGCTTGGGACTGGCCCCAGATTGCGCCGACATCAGCTAATTTCCTCTTAGATTCGTGATGAGATCGAAGGCGCCTTCGACTTCCTGTACGCTGTGTACGGTCTCTTCGGATTCCAGTTCAAGCTCAAGCTCTCTACCCGCCCAGAGAGCTTCATCGGAGACATTGCTGTCTGGGACATGGCCGAGGACAAGCTGAGGCAAGCCCTCGACTCCTTCGTCGAGAAGATTGACAGCAAGTGGGAGGAGAACCCCGGCGACGGTGCCTTTTACGGCCCCAAGATCGACATCACCGTCTACGATGCCCTGAAGCGTGACTTCCAGTGCGGCACCATCCAGCTGGACTTCAACCTGCCCAAGCGCTTCAAGCTCCGTTACGTCGCCTCCAAGGACGAGAAGCTGGCCGAGAAGACGGCCGACGATGACGACCTGCCGACCGGCTACGGCCGCCCCGTCATGGTCCACCGTGCTATTCTAGGCAGCTTCGAGCGGATGATTGGTATCCTCACAGAGCACTTTGCCGGAAAGTGGCCGTTCTGGATCAGCCCCCGCCAGGTCCTGGTCGTGCCGGTCATGCCAGCAGCCAACGACTACGCACAGGAGGTGGCGAAGAAGTTCTCGGAGAAGGGCCTGTTCGCCGACGCCGACCTGAGCGCAAACACTTTCCAGAAGAAGATCCGCACAGGACAGCTGGAACAGTATAACTTTATTTTCGGTCAGTACTTCCCCTCCCCTTTCGGGATGTTTTATTCCAATATATATATATAATCACTACGGTGGCTTTAATTCTAGCGCTAACATTGCAATATAGTTGTCGGAGCTGAGGAAGCCGAGTCAAAGACGGTCAACATCCGCAACAGAGACGACCAGGCCACACAATCCAAGGGCGAGCTGATCCCCGTCGACACCGCCTTGGAGCACCTCCTGAAACTCAAGGAGGAGAGGAGACTAGAGAACAAGTTTTAGACTAGGGACTTAGACTTGGTAAGATTTGCGAGCAGGTAGCGAGCCAGTCAGAGCAAAGTGAAAAAAAGAATTTATGAGGAAATCCTGTTCTCGCATGCATGTGTTCAGGCTCGGCGAGAACTTTTTTCTCTCGCAAAAAGAAAAACGTCACATTTTCCCACGCAGCTAAGGGTGGGGGTCGCTCTACAGTAGGTAGTTTCGGTTGAGACATTGTCGGAGCTTTTTGATTTGAATTTTTTTTCTAAAAGGAGGCGCTATCGGCGGCGTTGTGTCTAGTAACGCCCGTGTCGCCCTGCTTGCTCCCTTACGTAGGTAGTCGCGAAGTCCGAGCCTGTCATATTTCACGGGAGTCGCTGATACCAGTCATATTTTCATAAGTTCCAGTGACGAATCAGATCCGCACAATAATGGAATCGCAGTTAAGAACGGCCGACGGGAGAGGGAATCGAGGAATCGGGCACCTTTGCCCCGTGTGGTGTATCATCGCAATGCTCCCTACAACCTGGTACACTCCTCTTCGACTGCCCACCATCTCGCTCGCTTCGTCGGGTCATCCAGGGCCACACACCACATAATTCGCGCTGGGCCGGGCGGCTGCGTGAGGGCAATGGGGATTGCTTATTAGTCAGTGTGCTGTGTTGTACGACCCTCGATGCGGGCAGGAAGTTGCGGAGCGGGGAAGGCCAGGGTCTGTAGTTGCATCACCATCTGGGATCTTCTATGCAATGTGTAGATTCACAATGTGCAAGTTGGCCATTTAGGACACGATCCTGGACGTACGCAGGACCATGTACATGCGAGGTCACGTATACGTGCTTGGTGCGCGCCGTGCTTTGCATAGTAAGTGCCACCCATTGGATGGGGACATGTAGGTAGACAGCAAAGGGCCAGGGCAGCTCCTATGCGTCGAATTCCCGTCTACCATGGCATGGGTCACAGGCCGGCGGTCTCCGCCCCAAGGTTCCTTTTCTGCTGTGGGTGTGCGGAAAGCTTGTGCGCCGCGAGGGAGGCCGCGAACTGGGTTTCGGGTCGGTTACACAAGAACAGCATGTCGCTGATCTCGGAACGCAGTCGGGAGCACTCTATGCGGGCGAGTCCAAGGGGGACGTGTGTCTAGTCGGTGGCCAAAATGGACAGGTGCTTGGCTACTGTATGCACCAGGGGCTTGGATTAAGGGCAGGCCACCACCTTGCCACAGTTGCACACGCAACTGGTTGCGTGCGATTGATATATCATATTGCAGAAAGTACTTGTGAGGCCGTGGAGATGCAAGAGCTGGAACTGGAAGGGTCGAGTCGCAGTGGGGCGCAGGGTCGAGGACGGCCTTGATTCGAGGCAGATGGGCGCCGGGAAGCAATGCGGCGGGAATACATCAGCTATCATGAAGGACGGGAGGTGAGACACGGAGGCCTTCAAGCCTTGTCCGGGTCATTCGCACGCCCGACAGTGCGAGGGAGGAAAGCGACAAGTGAGGGACAGAAGAAGCAGCCGGCATGCATCATGGCCACACCACTGAAGAGGCTTCGTATATCTCATTCAATCCTGTCGCACCGTATCCGTCGGCCAGCATGCTTCCCCCCATCCGCGGAGCTCCGCCTTCCTCCATCCCATCCCATCCCATGATCCATGCGGGTGGAATCCACGTAGTAGACGTTCCTTGGTGTCGCACAGCGCCAGCGCCTTTGATGCGCCGGGTCCAAAGCAGAAGAGAGTGCTGCAAGAGAACTCCGCTACGGCCCAATCAGTGATGGGGAAGGGTCATACGGACCCGAATCGGTTGGCTGAAGGTTGGGGTGAGATTTGGCCCAGGGTCGCATCTTGGGACTTGCGTGCTCCAACAGCAGGTCAACGCGCAGGGCCCATCAAGCCTTTCGCCAATGGTCAATCATGTAACGGTCTGGTGGGTAGGTGTGTGCCGGTATGATTCGAGCAGCAACTGCAGGCCACCGTCACAACGGCAGAAGCTCGAAGAAGTCGATGTGTTGTTTCTGGGGAGATGCATGAGATGTAAGCCGGGCTCGCATTGCTTACGGGTGTACAAGGGAGGCACTGAGCGCTAACAGACCCTCCAAAACCCACCCGATCTCGATTGTCCACCTCGACCGCTCGGATTTGTGATGGCCTCGGTAGCATTAGAAAGGCAATTAGCATATGGCCCGGCTGGGAGCCGTTGCGGGAGTAAGCAGATAAAGGTACTTTGCTGCCGACGGCCACCCTCAGCCTTACAGGAAGTCGGACGTTGCTATTTCTAGGGATCGACTCGTGGAGTATCTCGTAGGGTCTTCTGGGCGACAGGGGCCCGGTGAGGTCCCTTCAGGGTCGGTGGGTGCTGGAAGAGACCGCCGGGCAATTCGAAATCCCAACGGCGCCCCAAGCTCACAGACATGCGTCGCGAGCTCGTAATTGATAGCAAGGCTAGAGAGGCGATGCTTAGAAGATAGCTCTCATAACGAGCCAAAAGTCCCGGTGAAACCCGCCATGATCCCTGATCAGCAGTGTCTGCATGTACCTACCCACCAGGTAGATTGGCGGGCGGCTCCCTGTAGCTGCATTGCGAGCAAGCAAGCACGCAACAAGACCAGGTGGGATACCATGCCCGGCGGATAAAGCTCTGAATATGGGGTAGCTTCCGACAGTCACCATAATAGATGTGCCATATATGTGCAGAAACTATGGCATGCCTGTCCCAAATGCCTCGTCGTGGTGGCCCTCCCTGGATGTCTTGCCCGCTGACATGGGCCCGACGGTCAGCACGGCTGCCTGCTTCGGACAGCGGCAGTGAGGGATGCTGGCTGGCACGACTCGGGCACAGCACAGCCCGTTTCTTCGGGCGATGTGCTTCCTGCGCTGCTCTGCGTCTGGGCTTGGCGATGTTGCCCAGGCCGGTCCAGTCCAGCTCGGAAGAAGCAAGAAGAAGCAAGCATCCATGGATGAGACAGGCTGTGTCCGTGCTTGCATGTCGGTATCCGTTGCTAGCACCAATAGCTATTCCAAATCGAACAGCCAGCAGCAGGCAGGCGGGACTTGGCGATGCAATACATGCATGCCTTACCTTATCTGAGGTCGCACCTAGGTCTTGCAGCAGAGCAGAAGGAGCAATGATGGACGTCAAACTGACACCTCTTGTTTCGGTTCTTATTGTGATCAGTCGTTGCTCGCATTTCCGTCACCCTGCGCAGCGACTGCAGCGTGCAACACGAAGCTGAGCATGCCTCCTCCCTCCTCCTGGTCCATCCACCACACACGCATGGTGATGGAGAGTTGCAGCTGAGGTACTTTTCTGTATTTGTCTCTGCTGCAGCCAGAAGAAAACCGGGGTCTGCTAGCTCAACACCCCTCCCCCGGGCAATATTGATTGATGCCCTTTCGGTACCATTGGGCAGGCCTCGCTAACTGGGGGCAATCACGGGTAGCTTGTCGATCCATCCGTCAGCCGCGACTCGAAACTACTACTAACTGCCTTCCCGCCCCTCGAGTCGACCTCAAGCACTGGCACTAAATCAACTACCGTCGTCTGCGTTGCTTGCCGCCCAGACAACTGCGCCTTGCTGCTTCATCACGCCCCCCTGCGTCGGGTATTTCTTTTTCTTCTTGCATTTGCTTTTTCCGTTCTTCTTTCTTCTTTCTCTAGTTGCTTCCCTAGTTCTGTCCCTGTGCGTCATCCCGCAGACCTGCGCTGGACGTAACCAGCCGACGCTTGGCTGTCCCACACCGTTGACTCGGAAGCTCCCACCACCACCAACCAGCCAGTGGCGGCGGAGCAATTAGAGGAGAGAGAGGGAGCGCTGGGTGAAAAAAGAAACGAAAGAGGCGACGCCATACGTGTGATCGCAACCCAGGCAGGCCAAGCTGGATGCGCGCCGACGCCTGAAACTCCGACGACACTCAATCTGAGGACCAGGTGGTTGCTCCAAGTTAGAGGACCTCAGCCGTATTGCGACGAGGAGAGACGGACCTGGGGGTCTGGTTATCCGTCCTCATAACGGTCTAGCCTACATCGTGCCGCCAAAGTGCTGCTTGGGCCGGATCCCAGCGCCGCTTCTCTGCAGGCGGCCAGGGAAAGCTTGATTCGAGAGCTTGCATACCGATTCATTCGTATGTGCCAGCCAAGGCAACCTTCTTTTGCGGCCGAGTAATATGGGCATAAATACCAGTCGGTAGACCCTAGAGCATATCCCGCTCCTCTCCGCCAGCAACATGCGCTCCACACCACCACTGCTGGCCCATCGTCGCGTGCCCGCCGGCGCCAGTTCCCATCATATCGGCAACACCCCCCAGGCGAATCCAGGCACCAGTTCGACTTCGTTCTCCAACCACTACGGATCTGGTAGCATGTCTATCAGCGAAGGCCAAAACGACGACATACCGGACCTTGATCTTACTAGCCACGGATCCAGCCAACACGGTGGCGTGAGCAACCTGCCGGAGAACCCCATCTTTCATTACACCCAAATGGCCCAGGATCTCAACTTATCACCATCATTACATGGCAGCTCGGGCAATTATTTCAATGCTGTCGACCAAGGTGATGACTCTTCGGCATCTTCTGACGTAGAGTCTACTTCACCCTCAAGCGTTTGGCTTGATGACGATATCATGGGCGAGGGTGAGAGCGGCATGGACGAAGGAGGTAATAGTTTATACCCCTCGCATATTTTCCCTAATTTCAATGAAGAGAATGCGCTTGAAGTATCAGTGGTGGTAGTTGACACTGATGGATCCAATGGCTCAGATCCAGACTCTACGGATGAAGACGACGCCGCGCCGCACCAACCTCCAATCTTTGTTGCCTTGCCCATGAATCCGCTGGTATTCCCACAAAACCTTTACCCAAATGGGTTCCCGGATGCTCTCACGTTCCCAGGTGCCCCGCCGCTGGCCCCTGGCGAGGATGACCTCCCACCACTAATGCTAAGCTCAGGGAGTTCTGAAATCACAGGGTCTCAAAACTACGGCTTACTTGACTTCCTTCGTTATTGGGCTCGCTACGGAGCAAATCATCAGAAAAAGGACCCCGACTTCCAAATCCCGAATATTCATCGCATGATGGACCACATAAGTCGGAGTGTAAGCCGAGTCTCGTATTCAGATCTCAATGGAGACAAATGCGATATGCAAGGCCTTGACTGGGAAAGCATGGGGGTGACCCGAACGACGGCGAGGATCACACGAAACAAAGTCTACAAGAATTATACCAATATCCCAAAAACGGATTCTATTACAGTACGTATTTACATGTGCCGGGGCATGTCACCTTGAATATAGACTGGGCTAACACTTAAATTCAGAGGGATCAACCAGACGCTTTTATCCCCCCATCGGAGAGCTACTTTCGGTATCGCCAAACGATAATGCGTTCGGATGTTCTTCTGTCCCATTTCCAGCTCCGTTCCGTCCTTGCCTGCCCTTCTCGGTCACAGGTCTACTACGCGACCCGTCGAGGTATCAATCGACTGAACCCTGTATCGAAGAGGACGGACTTGGCCATGAATGTCAGATCCTTTGGTTCACCGCTACGTACTGTCACGGCTCTTGACGCAACTTCTGAGGTGCTGGTGGGTGGAACCTTCAACGGAGATTACTGCATCAAACCAATCCACGCCGAGGACACCCAGAGACCCTCTGAAGGCCGAATTACTGGTGATTCGGGTTCCATCACTACTCATATCCAGATCCATACCACGCGCCGTTCTTCGTCGCCCGTTGCCGCGATCGCCAGCAACGATAATGGTCTGAGAATGCTGGACCTGACAACTGAGCAGTTCATCTCGGAAAGCTTTTACCCCTCCGCTTTGAACTGTTCTGCCATTTCGCCGGATCGTCGACTTCGGGTACTTGTAGGTGATACCCCGAAGATCAGCATCGTCAACGCCGACACCGGTGCAGTCGAGGTGACGCTCAAGGGTCATCGCGACTACGGATTTTCCTGCGACTGGTCCGATGACGGGGTGACAGTGGCAACAGGCTTCCAGGACAGGCGTGTCAAGATTTGGGACGCCCGGAAGTGGACAGATTCCAGCGGTAATAGCACTCCAGTCATGAGCATACTGACTGAGCTGTCCAGTGCTCGAAGCCTCAAGTTTTCACCACTTGGCAGTGGTGAGCCGGTCCTTGTTGCGGCAGAGGAGGCGGATTACGTCAACATAATCGATGGTAAGACGTTCCGGAAGAAACAGACCATCGATATATTTGGAGAGGTTGGCGGCGTAGCCTTCACCGAGGATGGCCAACAATTGAATGTCCTGGTCAGCGACACCCGCAGAGGTGGCCTCATCCAGTTCGACAGATGCGGGCTGCTTCACTCCAGTCGATTTACCCATCCTCTTTCGAATTTCCGGCATTTCTAGCTATCGCGATTCAAAACCCCATTTTGTTTATGGCGGCATTTAGACAGGCGTTCCACGTCAGCCTGGGCGGGCACCCACCCTCGACCCGGCTAACCCATAATGACTTCACCAAAAGTACTTTTCACGGACACGTACGAGCGAATATGGGCGTTATTTATCACGGTGAAAGAAACCATCAACGGTTATCTGCATGTTATATGGGGTCCCTTTTCTGGATTTTATCTTTCTCATTGCGGTTTTTTTCTTGGCTATCACTTGAGTATTAATGTCATGCGAAGCATATCAAGGCTCGGAATGATCATAGGGCAAAGCGGATTTCTTGGCCCACAGGCATGTTGTTTCTTAGGAATGGAATTATGAAGGCGTTGGAAGTGGATATCGGCGTTATTATTATCATGTTCTCTTCTCCTCTCGGTTGCCTCTTAGAATTTGTCGTCATGGTACGGAGCGTGGGTAATGCATAACAGGCAACTACTTATTATCTCAGACTCGATATTTACGCAAACAAGGACATTGGACCTCTCAATACTAGACGAATCAGGCTGGAATACGATTGATCATCAAAAGTCAGGAATCAGTCTCGGTGTTACTTTTGTTGTTCATCCTTCTCTAATATCATACCTCACCCTTCGTGGATGCTACACGGCGTCACTACTCCGACTCCTCCTAGGCCACGACTTATTATAAAATGATATAATGAACTCCGACAGGTCGGACTCTGGCATGCCTGCTTACCGTCTTTGCCCCCCCCACGCCTGGACTCGGGTCAAGACGAGTCACCCATCAACAAATATCGTCATCCTCCACAGTGGCCCCCAAGTACAATAAAGTGAAGAAACATCTCCTTTCGCCTAGTCCCGTGTACACCGCTCTCCCTCTCAGCTGCCTCGCTCGCGCTCGCTTAAACCCAACGACACAACGGGGTGGGTAAGTAAGCCCGTGGTGTGGAGCCATACTCCGGTCGTCACATTCCCCCGTCTGCTACGCCCATAGTTTCCCCCCCAGACCAAGATGGGGAGTCAAGAAGAAAGGGCAAAGGGCGAGTTTCTGGAGGTCTCGTGGTCACCGCCACCCATCTCGCTGTATCCAAGCCTTTGATACTACGTAACGCCCCGATACAAACCGGGGCGGGGGGGTAGTGGAAAGAAGAGAAACAAGCTCGTGAAGAAGGGGGAGGGGTGCGTCAGCACGGGTTCGTGTGGAACGGCTCGCGACGGGTTCTTTTCCTTTCTAGATGTGTGCACATGCGGTTTAGGAGGGAGGGAGGGGGGGGCTGAGAACCAGCTTGGGGGCCCAGAGTACCTGTCATGTTATCGCTCTGGCCACGACGCACCTGTTTCGGTCTTGTAGCTTCTCGTGGTGAGCGTACGTGTGGGGGGTGTGCTCATGTGTTGGGTAGGTGGCTTGGGATGGGGGGTTATAGATTCATGACGCCGACCTATCACAACGCTTCGTACTTTTTTTCCCTTACACACTCGTATGCAAGGGAGGAAGAGAAAAAAGAAAACAAGAGGAGAGAGAAAGTGACGAGTCGCTACTACGTTGCGGTACTATAAGTACATGCAACGAGGTCAGATGAGCATAGACTGATACGTGCGGTATATGTATAGTATGTGATCAATCACTTTGGGAGGAGTAGGCCAAACGGGGGCGAGACACGACGCGACAAGGAGGTCCGCGCTCTGCCCTTCCGTCGCTACGATCGGTCGACGGTCGGTTCGGGCACGATTCTATCCATCGGGCATTGAGTCTTTCTCAATTTTTCTAGTTTGGGGGGAGGGGGCCACTCTCATCTAACGCCACGACGCCGGTATCGAAGCGCCTCGAGCAAGCGGAGGCGAGTGGTGCCCTAATTGACAGCCTACATGGCCTCATGGTGTTTAGGTGAGTTGTCATGAACCGAATCAGGTGCTTGAGAGGGAAATGGCGAAACTGATAGGGTTGGATTGATTCCTGTAGCTGGCTAGCAGATGCTTCTTGGTGGAGCGTGTACACACAGTTCAGGAAACAGAGCACTCATTACCAGGAGTCCAACTCAACGGAGGAATGGTTCAAAAATGTACGCAAACTCTCCTGCTGTGCTGGGGCCACTTCATATGACGGACAACCATCCAAGTGGATGAAGAATTTGGATTCAGTGACCTCCTGATCTATACAGAAGCACTCTGGTGAAAATTGGGAAGCGAAGAACTGGCGAATAAATTCCAATGCTAAGATTGAATGCCAAGTGGTTATCATTATATATAGATACATTAAACAGTAAATTTTATGTAGCGCCTTATCCATCTCAAAGTACATGTAAATGGTCACTGGCAATTGCACGAATCACATACAAGAAACTCATCCCCATATCTCCCAGGATTCACCTATAATCGCTTACAGGAGACCCTTGAAGAACTCCTTGCAGCCCCAGCTCTGCTCGCAACCGCATGAACCAGGCTGCTTCCACATGTCGTTCTCGAAGGAGAAGAAAACGGTCCTGTCACCGCAGGCCTCACGGATGGACTTGAGAGCGGTAAGCTGCTCCACCTTACCAGGGACGGCAGCGCCGTTAGAGGATCCCTCAGTAGGCCAGCCACACTCCAGGTTGATAGCCTTCTTGCCACTGCAGACGGTGTCAAGGATGTCAAGCTGACCCGAGACGAACTCACCAGCAGTTGCGGGGGTGACCTGGCTGTTGAAGTAAGGGTGGATGTTGGCACCGGTGTAGTCAACGACGCCGCAGAGAGCGCTAGTCACATCAGATCGCTCCCAGATGTTGAGGGTCTCGGCGATGGTGAAGGGGCCACTGTAACCGGACCACTTGCTCTTAGCGGTGGTGATCAGGCTTGCAAGATCTGTGGGCTGGCAGAGACCCTGCATGAGGACCTCGTTACCAATGACCATGAGGTCAACGAGACCAAGATACTTCCAGTTGGCAATTGCGTCCACCTGGTCCTTGATTTCCTTGGACTCGTAGCTGCAGCTGGCACCCTTGACGAAGACACCGAGAATGATACGAATACCAAGCTCCTCGCAGGCAGGGCCAACGGTCTCAAGAGCGTTGCAGTCAGTACCGTAGACACGGATGACATTGAAGCCTTCATTCTTGATTTCCTGGAGATCTTTCTTGACCTGACTGGCATCCTTGCAGTCACCAGACTCGCCGTAGTAAGGGGTGTAGGTAATACCGTAGTGGTTACCCTTGTTACCGAAACTGCCGTTGAAACCACCGGAAGGAGGCTTGCTCGTGCTGGGCGTAGAGCTAGTGGTAGGCTTGGGGGAGTCGGACGACTTGGAAGCCTCGGACTTGGGGGCCTCGGACTGGGATGCAGGAGCAGTGGTGGTTGGCTTGGGTGCCTCAATAGGCTGGGTGGGAGACAGGGTCACGGGAATGACGGTGGGAACGACGGAGCTGGTAGGGAGCCCAGTGCTGCTGGTGTAAGGGCAGTAGTAGACATAGTCGGTCTCGGTGACGGTGACCACTTGCTGGGGAATAGTGTAGGTGCCAGGAGCATACGAGGTGGGGATAGGGAAGTGAATATCGGTCTCTTTGGTGACGGTGGTCGTGATGGGAGCAACAGTGTAGGTGCCAGCGCTGGGGCAGACGTACTCAGTGCTCGTGATGATGCTGGTCACAACACCGTTGTTGGTGGTAGCGGTAGCAACGGGGCAAGTGATGGTGGTGGCAGTCTCAACGACGGTTGTGACTCCTCCGACCGTGTGAGTTCCGGGAACAACGTGAGTGCTGCTGGCACCGCAGACCGTTGTGGTCTCGCTAACGGTAACGGTAGTAGCGGGAACGGTGTATGTGCCGGGAGTAGCGTAGGTGATGGGCTCCGGTGTTGGCACGGGCAGCTTCACGGTGGAAGTGGGCGCCACGGGAGCAGCGCTGCTCGTGGTGACAGGAGAGTTAGAACTGGCAACGGCAGGAGTGGTGGACGGCTCTGGTGCTTGGGTGGGAGTGAGGGTGACTGGGATAATCGAGTTAGCAATCCGGCGATCCTCGAGATTAGATGTTATCAAGCCGGGAACACTTACGGACAGTCTCCTCCCAGATGGTGGTAACCCAAGTAGAACAGAGGTCAGCGTTTCTCTTGTGAGCGAAGAGCTTGTGAGCATGCCCGTGGTTGACGGCATTGGCACTGCCAGCCATGGCCGCAGTGGCGGCAACAACAATAGCACCCTTCATGTTCTCGGAAGATGGACAATTGGAACTAGAGATGGATAGAAGACACAACCGCTGAAGGAGTGAAAGCGGGATGGAATCAAACGAAGGGACGGAAGCAGCTATAAAAGGCTTTCCTGAGGATGTCAAAAGATGAAGGGGAGGAGAGAAGAAGATTCTGAGGAGAGGGAGGGAACGGATAATGAGAGAAGAGGGCCACTCTGCGGCTCGTCGCCAGGGGCATGTTGCTCGTATTCTCCATTATGGGGCCTGACTTGAGGTTGGATCTGCACTCTGGAGAATGCAGAGTCACAATCGGCGCATGGGCTTGGACAGAGGGATCCATGTCCGCTGCGAGAGTTGTCCAGCCATTGCAGTACATGATACGCCACTGCCCGCGGCATTGCAATTAAGGTATCCTGGTCGGAAGCCACGGTCGCAAGCCACCGCAGTCACCAGGTGGGGAAGTGGGGGACCGCGCTGGCTGCTGATTGGGCGCTCGGCGAGGGGCGCTAACCTGGTGCAATTTCCATTGGCCCAAGCAGGCCTGGAAAAGGGGAAGCCGCACTCTTGAGTTCTTCTTTAGGCAACACCAGCCCAGTCGTGCCTGCCTGTCCCCTGTCGTCCTGGGCGAATAGGGACCCGCCTGGACCTGCATCAGCGACTTACGGCGCGAGCACAGCGCCTGCCCAGAGGGCGCTAAGCCTGTAGCGATGCTCGTCTCGCCCGCTGCGGTACGTTGCACCACGCCGGCGTCTCAGAACCCCTTCCGCCAGCCTCGACGCCTACTGGCCATGCCGTTGGCGCTCGGTGCGCAATCTCAATCTCGACGTTGCTGCAGCGTGCAGCCAAC